TCCTTCCTGCACATTCTTTTCAAACTAAACTCTGCTTTAAACTGTTGTGTGCTTGGAAAAATATAAATTGTAATGTTAAAAATCTAAAAAAAACACTTGATAGGTTAAAAACTTACACTACTACTACTCACCAATTTAACATGTTTAGCTCTATAACATTTAAACGCACCACTCCAATGTCTAGGAGAAAAACATTTAATGAACATTTTTTAATGTATGACCTGCATCACTGCACAGAAGACCATATGATAGAGATTTTTACACTGTGCGCATATAATTATTATTATTATTTTCCTAATCCCTGACTGATCATTTCTAATCTAGCGTGTTTTATAGTATAGATTAAATTCATCATCCAGCTGCTGCTCTGCAGAATTCTCTCCCCAAGAGCTGAATCACGCCGTCTAGCGGAAAATCACGCGGCCTTTTCAGATCACGTGAGAATGTGTACAAAACAACAAAAATGGCGCCGGGAACGCTTGTGGGTCGTTTTGAGTGAATGTCTGTGATTTTAAAGTAATTTTGAGTGATAAATAAATTTTTTTTTTGCAATCATTGCACTTGCCCGGCGGACAAATGCATTGAAATTTGTACTCTCCCGACAATAAAAACTACTTGCCCCGGGTGATCGGGCGATGGTTAACATCGAGCCCTTGTTATCTAATATCATGCTAAGCTATGCAGACACTCTGTCTGCGCTAATGAAGGTTAAACCCATTTTTTAATGCAAAATGCTTTGAATAGTTACATGAAGAGAGACTATTGTGTTAAAGCGGCTGTGCTGATTTGAACTAAACTGAGAAATGAAACAAATTAATTATTGATAGTGATTTTGATTCAGTATGTTTAAACAAATATTTATATGAATGATGCCTTGATGACCGACCCATCTCTAGGGTAAGGCATCTTTCACTTCATCCTCACCAGAAAACACTCAGGGTGTCACACTTCCATTATTGTTTGTGTGTTCTTGGCTTGACAGATTTGACAGTTGAAAGGGACACCAACTTATTAGAAGTTCCTTTTAAGATTTTAAAGTGCATCCTAGTTGTAGAACGTAACTTTATGTTGAAACAATATGAATTTAGCAGGTGTAAAACAGCTTATAATCAGTATTGTGATAATAGTCATTAAAGTAACAGCTTTCACTCACAGTGTGGGTTGTAGCAGTAAACGTCCCATCTCTCACTTTTGTTCAGCCTGTATCCATAGTCGATGATGCCAACTTTCCCATAGCCACAGTTGGCACCAGGTTTGACGATGGGATAGCCGACGCGTCCTTTGTCGAACCATCCAGCCGCGCAAACGTGCAAACCTAAAAGCAAGAGAATGATGCAGTGTTTTTGCTTTACCACCATATGGGCTCTGTGCTGACAATTCAGATCTTCCCTCCAGAACCTCCAAACATTTAGAGAAACAGTTCATGAAAGCCTATTGGAGAGCATTTATTTATTTCTCTTTGTGGAGACTCCTGGGGTTTGCATCACAATCACAAAACATCGGAAAACTAAACTGTAGCCAATGGCACAGAGCCTAGCAGGGCTTGCAGCTGTGCAGAGCAAAGGGAATGTTACTGTAGCTCTAAAAAGTGCTGGGGGGTAAAACAAGCCAAGCAAAAATCATCAGACTGTAAAGAAACACACAAATAGGCAACAACATGCTGATCC